CTGCTCAAAAGGGGCCCCACAGCAGCAATAAAGATATTCATAAGCAGCCTTGAAGCTGCTGCTGCTGCTGTTGCTGCTGCTGCTGCTGCTGCTGCTGCACAGCCGGGCTGCAGCCGCTGCTGCATGCGGCATAGTTTCGGAAGCAGCAGCAGCAGCAGATATATTTTTAATTAGAGTTAAACCTCTGCTAGCCTCATCTCTCTGTAGACGCTGCCTGCTGTCTGCTGCAGCAACTCTCCCTACTACAGCAGCAGCAGCAGCAGCAGCAGCAGCAGCTGCTGCTGCTGCTGCTGCTATGCTTACTGTACCACTCTCGAAGCATCAACCCTGCAGCAGCAACTGCAGCAGCTGCAGCAGCAACAACAGACTGCCGCTGCTGCAACCCTCGCAGTTCCACTGAAGCGGGCGAAGTTCTCCGCAGCAGCAGCAGCAGCAGCAACAGCAGCAGCAGCAGCAGCAACAGCAGCAGTAGCATGCTACTGCTGCTGCTGCTGCAGTAGGCGGCTCCACTGGTGCTGCCAATGACACCTTCCCAGGGCCAGCAGGCCCCGGGGGCTGCGGCATCTCCTGCAGCAGCAGCAGCAGCAGCAGCAGCAGGTGCTGCAGCAGCAGCACCCGCAGCAGGGGCTCCTGCTGCAGCAGCACCAGCAGCGCCAGGAGCACCCGCAGCGCCAGCAGCAGCAGCTGCTGCTGCTGCTCCTGCTGCTGCACCCTCTTCTACAGCTGCTTCAGCGCGGGGGCAGCAATGCATGCAGCTGCTGCAGTCGCAGCTGAGTAGACGCGCGCTGCAGCTAATAGAAAGCAGCAGCAGCAGCAGCAGCAGCAGCAGCGGGGATGACAGAGCCTTTGGCCCTGCCTCCCTGCTGCTGCAGCCTGGGCCCTTTATGCAGCAACCGCAACCGCAGCAGCAGCAACAGCAGCAGCAGCAGCAGCAGCAGCAGCAGCAGAGGCCCCCAGTATACAGCACCGCTGGCCTGCCTCTGTATACTGCATCAAGTCTTCTCGACCACCCCCTGCTGAAGCCACAGCAGCAGCAGCAACAGCAGCAACAGCAGCAACAGCAGCAGCAGCAGCCACTGCGGCAGCCACAGCAGCAGCAGCAGCAGCAGCCACTGCGGCAGCCACAGCAGCAGCAGCAGCAGCAGCCACTGCGCCAGCCACAGCAGCAGCAGCAGCAGCCACTGCGGCAGCCACAGCAGCAGCAGCAGCAGCCGCTGGGGCAGCCACAGCAACAGCAGCAGCAGCAGCCACTGCGGCAGCCGCAGCAACAACAGCAGCAGCAGCCACCGCGTCAGCCGCAGCAACAACAGCAGCAGCAGCCGCTGCGGCAGCCACAGCAACAGCAGCAGCCACCGCGACAGCCGCAGCAACAACAGCAGCAGCAGCAGCCGCAGCGGCAGCCGCAGCAGCAACAGCAACCACTGCGGCCGCAGCAGCAGCAGCCACAGCGGCAGCAGCAGCAGCAGCCACAGCGGCAGCAGCAGCAGCAGCCACAGCGGCAGCAGCAGCCACTGCAGCAGCAGCAGCAGCAGCAACAGGGGAAACAGAAACAGGGGCTGCAGCAGCAGCAACATCAGGCTGTCGCAGCAGCAAGCATCGGCGTCCCAACCCCCCAGCGGCAGCCAGCAGCAGCAGCAGCAGCAGCAGCAGCAGCAACTCCTGCTGCTGCTGTTTGTTCGCCTGGCGCTGCAGCAAGTGCAGCTCGCTCGGAAACAAATCAGGGCAGCAGCAGCAGAGGCAGCAGCAGCAGCAGCAGCAGCAGCAGCAGCAGCGGGAAAGCTGAGCCCGGCGTGTCCTCATCCAGGCTCCAAACAGCAGCATCAGCAGCAACACCAGCAGCAGCAGCAGCAGCAGCAGCAGCAACTCCTGCTGCTGCTGCTGCCCCCCGGTCTTCTGGTGGTGTCAGCAACCCGATGGCATCGAGCAGCCGCCCGAGCCGCAGCAGCAGCATTATCTACAGCAGCAGCAGCAGCACCACCGCCACCACCCCCCCCAGCAGCAGCAGCAGCAGCAGCAGCAGCAGCAGCAGCAGCAATATACTAAGCGAGAGGTCTAAGCTGTGGCTAGCTTATGATAGAGAACACGGCACCCTATGGGGTCGGGATTGGGTTTACTATAGGCTGCTGCAGCAGCGGCTGCCGCCATCTATATCTCTGCAGCAAGCAGCAGCAGCAGCAGCAGCACCACCACCCCCCTCATCATCATCATCATCACCAGCAGCAGCAGCAGCAGCAGCAGCAGCAGCAGCAGGAGCAGCAGGGTATAGACGTATAGTCCCTTCATATATATTAAAACAAAGAAAAACAGTAAACACAATAAAACTACAAGAAGACCTATGCTGCCCCGTTTGTCTCTGTCTCCTTAAACAAACCCTCGTAGTAAAAAACTGTCTCCATAGATTCTGCGCCGAGTGTATAGAGAAATGTGTTAGGATTGGAATCAGAGAATGCCCACAAGTAAGCAG